TATTTTTTTTTCTTCAGAGAGGAGGGGAAAGGGAGAGAGATAGAAACATCAATGATAAGAGAGAATCATTGATTGGCTGCCTCCTGCATGCTCCACTGGGGATGGAGCCCACAACCTGGGCATGAGCTCTGACTGAGAATCGAACCATGACCTTCTGGTTCATGGGTCGATGCTCAACCACTGAGCCACACCAACCAAGCCTCCAGTAACTTTTTCACTCCAGTGTGCAATGGAATCTCATAGGATGCAGATTCCTGACTCCCACTCCTAGAGTCTGATTTGGTAGGAATCTGCATTCTAACAACCACGCCAAGTGTTTTAAGAAGGGTAGTACACAGGCTACCCTTTGAGACACTGCCTTATTCTACTTGGATCAACTGTAATACAGCAATCTTGCTACTAAAAATGTTCTGTTTCACCCTGACCAATGGTGGGGGCAAGACCTCCAGAGGGGAGGCCTGTGGACACAGCTGGTGGTCACGCCTCCAGAGGCTGGCTTGAGGTGGCAGCTTTGTAACCTGGCAAAGTTTAAGCCTTCCTGGCTCTAAGGATTCTTCCTCAGTTCACCTCTGGGGCTCACAAGTATTTCCTTCTTCCAATCCTGCCACTGCCATCCAAGCCATGGGCTACAACAACATGGACTCAGCAAGACTTTAAAAAAGCAAATCTTGAAAATAAATCTGGCCCAGGAGACTATTTAATGCCATCCCTTCTTATATCCTTTGATTTGTTTGGAGGGCATTTTGAATCAGGTGGCCAGAGAAGAACAGGAGCAGTTTTTAGGATAAAAAAAAAAAAAAAAGCCTTTGGAAGCACAGGAATGTGAATTCCTTGTAAGAAAAATGGTCGCTGGGGTAATCACTCCGAGCTGGTTGCATCCGTTCCCTTCTCAGATGCTCTCCCTGCCCACTTCGCAGATGATGATTTAGTTATTAGGTCATGAGGCCATGGTCATGGCATGTGTTTGGAATCAAATGGCAGGCTCAGGCCCTGGGTCGACCATGACACTGTTGGATCTGTTTGATTTTATGCCAGTCACCCAAACTCTCTCAGCTTCAACACTACATGATATAATAGTAGTTGTTCTATGTGTGAATAATGTAGAATAGTATATAATATTTTTATCAAGATGTGGGGGTGGTACGATATCATGTATGCAGAGCTCCTAATACAGTGGGTGTTCAGTAAAGAGGTGCTCATATTATTGTCATTCTCTCTCTCAGTGATCACAGGTCTCTAGGCAAGGCCAGTTTCCTCTGTCCCTGTCTACTGAGACATTGACATGACAACACCGTCTTAGCCGTGGTGGTCTAGGAGACTCAAAACAGAATTTGTTCCATAGGATCCACACTGATTGTCAATGACAACTCCCAGCCCCCAGCACACTCACTTACCAACAACAGTCTTCGTTTCTATGTGGACCTTTCCTTCTCTCTCCCCATTGGGCACCTTAGACTTGTCTGTCTTAGTTCTTTTCTTTCTCTTGACATTGTCAATCGACTCCATCTCCTCCTGAAGGTGAACATGTAAGGAAAGGGACTATGATTCAGGGACCATGATACATGTAGGAAAGGGGGGGAAAAATCAAAGGAAGATTATGTTGAACAAGATGGAATGGCTTTGAATGGAATGCGTGTGGGTTCCAGATGAAGCAGAAGAGCAGGTCTTGGAGCGTGTGGAGCCTAAGGTTCGGCCTTTGATTTTCAACTACGAGGTATAATTTCACAGGAGAAAAGAGGAATAGAGTACATTTTATGATCTGCCCCCTTTTTTTGATGCTAAATCATGGTCTACAGAGCAGGATCAAAGTGAAGCAGTTTTCACCTTTGATAGATGGCTGTTGCCACGATTACTGGCTAAGTGTTTTAAATCAAAGCCAGCTTTATTCACTGCTGCATCATTTGCTCACTTTCAGGAAGCCTTAAACTTTCCCTGTAGGCTGGAACAACATGGAGGTTCCTTCTAAGAGAGGATGGCAGAGCAGGGTCATAGCTACCCACTCAGTACCTATGATATTGTGACATAATAAGAAATATATATTTGGCCTTCCGTCCTCAGTCCCTGGCACAAAGCTCCTAAAACCTGTAATTTCTGGAGCATAAAGGGAGTATGTTTTGTTATTCAAACCAGGCTCCTTTCAACAACACCTGAGATTATGTTAATGAGGAGACTTTTGGAAAGTCCCTAAGGTGGGGGAACTGGTTGCCAAGGGAAGCAACCAGGTGATTAGAGGGTTGGACCTTTTAGCCCCACACCCCCAACCGCAGAGGGGAGAGAAGGGCTGGAGTTTGAGTTAATCGCCCTTCACCAATGATGTAATCCACCACGTCTGTGTAATGAAGCCTCCATGAAAATCCAAACCAAAGGAGTTCAGAGAGCTGCTGGGTTGTGGACACATCCACATGCTGGGAGGGGGGCAGACCCCAAACTCCATGGGAAAGAAGCTCCTGCAGTTGGGACCATTCTGGACTTTGCCCTATGCATTTCTTCATCTGGCTATTCATTCGTGTCCTTTATAATAAACTTTGTAATAAACCAGTAATAGCAAAAGTAAAGGTTTCCCTGAGTTTTGTGAACCATTCTAGCACATTATCAAACCTTTGGGACTGGAGGGTGAGAATCCCCTATTTAAAGCTTGTTGGTCAGAAGCATAGGCAACCACCTGAGACTTGTGATTGACATCTGTAGTGGGGGCAGTCTGTGGGACTGAGCCCTGAGTGTGTTGGGCCTGCACGAACTCCGGGTGGTTAATGTCAGAACTGAAGCGTAGGACACCCAGTTGGTGTCCTCGAGAGCTGGAGAATTGGTTGTTGTGGGGAGAACCCCCACACATTTGGTGTCAGAGGTGGTATAAGCGTAGGAAAACGGAAGTTTCCTTTTAGTACCTTTGTAGGAATTAGAAACAGGCACCCTGTCCTTCAGGGGGATGCAGCCCAGTGCTGGGGGGCAGGACATGGTGAGCAGGCCAAAGACTGGATTTCAGCTCCAATTCGCTGGCTTTGTCAGGTGCCTTTATATAGTAAGCAATCTACACAGCGATGGTGGGAGCCCTGCTGGGAGCATGAGCCAGGCGGGGCTTTTTGACCAAGCTCCTAGGTCTTTACACTCACACGACTGATGCTGGCTGGTGTTTGCTGCTTGGACAATCTTGGTTTCGTCTTCCCTTCTTTTTTTTTTGGAAGAAGAGGTGTGTCGACAGGACCCAACCTCCCTGGGGACTCAGGCCCAGGTTCTGCGAGTCTTCTGTGCAGATGGAATACGTCATCATCTTTGCCCCTTTGAAAAAAGCAAACCAACAGGACCAAACTAAAGAGAAAACTCTGGCGGACAAGGAAGAGAGAATGTGAACATTGACTGAACACCTGTTCTCTGTCATTTCACACACCTGGCCATTTCTCACACTTGGTGGGCATTTCACACACCTGGCCATTTCACACACCTGGCCATTTCTCACACTTGGTGGGCATTTCACACACTTGACCATTTCACACACTTGGTGGGCATTTCACACACCTGGCCATTTCTCACACTTGGTGGGCATTTCATACACTTGGCCATTTCACACACTCAACCATTTCACACACCTGCCCATTTCACACACTCAACCATTTCACCCTGTTGGCCATTTCACACACTCAACCATTTCACACACCTGGCCATCTCACACACTTAACCATTTCACACACCTGGCCATTTCACACACTTGACCTTTCACACACCTGGCCATTTCACACACTTGGTGGGCATTTCACACACTTAGCCTGAATAAGGAAGATGAGAAAGTTTGGTCTTCCCTTTTGGGATTGTCTCAGGCTCAATTCTAAAACTTAGGTAGCAGGGAAAATAGTTTGCCTCTTTGGGATTGCATGTTTACACCTTCAATTGAATGACATCAGATTATCTAACTGAAATTTCTTCTACCTAAGGCATAGCTGAAAAATAAGGTGACCTTTAAGAAAGATCGCATAAGAAGATGCAACTACCCATCCATTCCTTCATGCCCTTGGAATTCTATTCTTGGTCAAATTCAGCCACTAAAAGGTCAAGTGCTGTGTTAGTTTGAGCTCCAATAGAACTGTTGTCACCGACAGTGTGCCTTGTGGACAACTGACTTATTTTCTCTGGATGAAAAGGTCATTAGAAACAGCCACATGGATTTCAGGAACAGCGCAGCTACAGCTACTGTGTGCCAGGCCTGGTTCTGGGCACTTTATTTTTTAGCTACATCAGTATTATATTTATTGTGCTGTGCTAGCACAGGGCCTTACTATAGAAACTTCAGAAATATTTGTCCAATGAGGTAAATGGAATTTTCCTGTAAATATATGAGTCTTTAAATCATTCAATGTCACTCTATAAAAACCCACAGAGGTATCCTTTAGAATTTAGGTCTGGGAAAACATTTATTTTCCCTGAGGAACAGGTATGCTGTAAATGAGAACCACAAACCTGACCGTGTTGCTTTTTTCCCTTCCACATTCAGGAATCTCTGTATCAAGCCTGAAAGTCTGCTCTTTAATCACACTGTCTATAATGACTTTTGTGGAGTGTTGGTGTTCTTTTTTCCTTTCCTCCTGATTAAACAATTTTTTTGTTCTCTCTCTCTCGATGGTTTTTTTTTCTGAATTAAGAAAAATAAACAAGCCCGGCCAGTGTGGGTCAGTGGTTAAGTGTCAACCTATGAACCAGGAGGTCACGGTTAGATTCCAGGTCAGGGCACATGCCCAGGGTTGCAGGCTCCATCCCCAGTGTGGGGCATGCAGGAGGCAGCCAATCAATGATTTTCTCTCATCATTGATGTTTCTATCTCTCTCTCCCTCTCCCTTCCTCTCTGAAATCCATAAAATACATATTAAAAACAAAATAAAAGCAGAGAAACCCACGTCATTCCAACTTTGAACACTTACGCCTTTTGGACAGTGTCTGCCTCAGGCCTCTGGATGTTTTCAGCCCAGGAAGCACTGAGAGGGTCCAGGGTCACACTCCTGGGCTCTGGGTCTGTGAAAACAGAGAGCATCCTTCATCAGCAAAGAACAACAGTCAGTGATCCCAAACATGGGAAAATGTCTACCTGGTAAGTAGTCAACAGCATGCAAATTAGAACAGTGAGAGAAGTTATACCTAAGAAATTAGCAAATACTGCAGAAATCAGTGCTGGCACATGACATTAAAATTAGTAAGACCCTTTGGGAAAGTATGTATCAAGAACCAGAGAAATGTCTGGTCTTTGATTAGGAATCTCACTCCTGGGTATTTATCATAAGGAAATAATTCAAAGGAAGAAATAGCCTTTTGTACCAACTTATTTATTACAACTTTATTATTAATAGTAAAAAATTAAAAACAGCTCAACAATGAGAGATTAGGGAAGTAATTTATGATGCATTAATTTGACATTTAAAATTATGGTTGTAAGATAAATGAGCAGTATGGAAGATATTCTACAATGACAATATAAACTACAGTATGTTGAATTATGTAAAATATGTATGTAGATGAATAAGGTCTGGAGGAGAAAATAGAAAAAAATAGATTGGAAGGTTTATGTGTACTTGTATTTTTCTTAAAACCCTGTGTGGTGATAACATTGAAAAGGAAATTGATTAAAAAACACACAAATGTTGCTGTAGGAGGAAGGCTCATGCAGTTCACACAGTTGGTACTCTTTGCTGGGGATGCCAAAGACCATACTGTGTAGCTCTTTTAAAATGAGAAGAATCTCTAGATTAAGACTTCATATTGGACTATCGGCTAGCTTTTATTTTAGTTACTATAAACAATTTTTAAATGATGGAAGATATAGTTTATTGCAAAAATTTGGAAAACACAAAAAAGCATAAAGAAGAACCCCCCCCCCCCCGATACACACATAATTATTAGAATGACTAAAATGAAAAAGACTGACTACACAAGAGTTGACAAGGACACGGAGGAACTGGAATTCTCATACACTGCTGGCTGGAATGTAAAATGGTACAACCACTTAGGAAAATAGTTTGACAGTTTCTTAAGAAATTAAATATTAGCCTTAGCTGGTTTGGCTCAGTGGATAGAGTGTCGGCCTGTGGGCTGAAGGGTCTCAGGTTTGATTCTGGCCAAGGGCACATGCCCGGGTTGTGGGCTCGATCCCCAGTAGGGGGCATGCAGGAGGCAGCCAATCAATGATTCTCTCTTATCATTGATGTTTCTATCTCTCTCTCCCTCTTCCTTCCTCTCTGAAATCAATAAAGAAATATATTTTAAAAAAAAGAAATTAAATATTATATATATCATGTCATCTACCCATTATACTTCCAGGTATTTTATCCAACAGAAATGAAAGCCTATGTTCATACAAAGACTTGTACACAAATGTGCATAGTAATAGTTCATTTGTAATAATTGAAAACTTGAAACAGCCCATATGTCCATCAACAGGGGAATGATGAACAAACTGGTGTGTATATACAATGAAATAGTGATACACTCAACAACATGGATGGATCTCAAAAGAACTATGTAGTGGAAAAAAACCAGACAAAAGAGAGTACATATGGTATGAATCCATTTGCATAAAATTCTAGAAAAGTAAATGAATCTATAGTGACAGAAAGCAGATCAGTGATTGTCTGGGGATGAGGGAGGCTGGAAGGGTGGGCATGAGGAAATGTTTGGGAGTGATAAATGTTTTACCTCGATTGTGGTGGGTGGTTTCATGGGTGTATACATATATCAAAACTTATATAGTAAGTCTCAAAAGTTCTCCTTACGGGAAAAAAAATTGTTAACTATATGAGCTGATGTATGCTAACTAAACTTATTGTGATAATCACTTTGCAATCTATACATATATCAAATCATTATGTTATTCACCTTAAACTAATACAGTGTTGTAAGTCTATATCCTTATAAAACTGGGAAAAACTCAAAATCATAGCTATGTTTAATGTTTCAATGACAGACAATTTTGTAATTATACAAAATTAAAATCTAAGGAAAAGCAAAGTTGACTGCATTAAAATCTTAAAAAAAAAACTTTATTGTTGTGTTACATATGTCTCCCTTTCCCCCCATTATGCATTAAGATCTTTGCAGGAGCCCTAACCGGTTTGGCTCAGTGGACTGAAAGGTCCCAGGTTCGATTCCGAGCAAGGGCATGTACCTTGGTTGCAGGCACATCCCCAGTAGGAGGTGTGCAGGAGGCAGCTGATCGATGTTTCTCACTCATCGATGTTTCTAACTCTCTATCCCTCTCCCTTCCTCTCTGTAAAAAATCAATAAAATATATTAAAAAAAAAAGATCTTTGCAGGAAAAAAATAAATCATAATATTGAACACAACAAAACCTATCTAATTGTACAATTTAAATAGGTCCCATTTATGTATGTTAATCGTCCCTGGATAAAGCCGCTAAAAGCCTAACAAAATATATATTAATACAATAAAGTGCTTAAAACAGTGCTGGCACCTGGTAAATAACAACAACAAGTACCTCACCCATAATCACTCTGCCCTGATACAACTGCTGCAGAGAATTTGGCATATTTACTTTCACGTACATATAGGAATTATACACTAACATTTTAATAGAATTGATAAAATAGTGTACACATAATTTTATTGTACTTTTATGTTATTATACTTTCCTGTATCATAAGTATTCTTAAAAATGATTTTAATAGCAGCACAGCATTTCATCATATGGATGTACTATGAATGACTAAAACCAAACATGTCACTTTTGAAATACTTACTACATGCCAGCATTGTGTTAGGTGCTGGGAATATAGTGGTGAGTAGGACGGACACACACCCTGGCCTCAGGGAGCTTAAGGTCTGGTGGGGAAGATGGATGTTAACAGCAAACAAAACAAAACTAAAACTAAAAATCTTTTTGAAGGTCGGACTCTAATATTCAATCCCCGTATTTTTCTCATTCTCTTTGAGCAATAGATGCTTGCACGAATTAATTTATTTCTTTTCAATTTTATTTAAAGGTATTATAATTTAATGAAAGATTTGAAAAGAAAAAGTCACCCTGCCAGCATCAGTCTCTTAATAATACAGTTAATCCATCTTTCCGTGTTCAATTGTTGTCCCAGTGCCCCCCACCCCAGAGCCTCTTTTCAACTTGGGCTTCCTTCTGCCATTCCCACACATTAAGGGTGGCGTATACACCAACCTGCAAGCTTTGGAGTGGGGACAAAACTGAATGCACAAGGTCGTTGAGGACACTGAGAAGTTGACTGAAGTGGTATCTTGGAATTTGTCTTGAATAGCATGTAATATTAACAGAGCATGAGAGCTGATTATAGTATTTTCGTGATAAGGGGAATTCTGTGAGGGTGTCTTTCGTTAGCATGGCTGGCTCAGAAAAAGCTGTCATTGGACATCCACTGCTCCCCACAGCTATTCTGAACAGGGCATGACAGGACCAGCAGAGGGCGCGTTTGTATTGACCAAGAGCTGAGGTTCTACACTGGTGTCATCTCACCATTTTGATTAGAATCGAAACCCTGTCCGTTTTGGGATGGGAACCAGAGCAAGGTGATTTTTTCCCTCTCTAATAAAATAACCTGATATTTAGGAAGTACTGAAATAACCAAGGCAGTATTTTGAATTACATTTACAACTTTTCACTGTATTAAAAAATCTGTAAAATATTTTAAGAATGCAGAGTATAGAAAAAATACTGCATCATGATTACCCATGTACTCAGCACCTAACTTTGTGAAATCTTAACATTTTGCCATATTTGATTCACATTTTCCCCAAATAAATAAATAAATAGTCCAAGACTTCATGCTATCACATCCAATGTCACTTCCCTCACTCTCTCCCCCAGAGATAACCATTCTCTTCAACTTGGTACTTACCAGTTGACAGGGTTCAAAACATGCTATTCCAAAATACGTCACCTTGGCGTATTGAATAGTTTAAGCTGAAGGACCCTGAGAAACAGCGGGTACAGAAAGGACTCGCACCTCCCTGTTCTCCCTGAAGCAGGTCAGGTGAGGGGCCCTCTCTTTAGGAACGGAGCATCCTGGTCCCTGGAGACAGCCATTCTTTCCCCACTGTTTTTAAATGCCACTTTTGCCATATGTGAGTGCATCCCCCCCACCCCCCGATTCTCTATACTCTTCTGTCTGTCTCTAAGCAATATCATTTAGCTTTAAAGTAAATTTTAATATTTTGTTGAGCAAACTCTTCCACTTTGCTCTTCTTCAAAATCGTATTGGCATTTTTGACTCCTCTTTATGACTTTCAGGATCAACTTACCATG